TCATTTTCATTCAGTTTTAAGTTGGAGAAGATGGCCAGAAATTCTTTCAACTCTATAATTTAAAAAATGCAGTGTAAGCTATGTTTTTAATTTCTGAAATTTGGGCAAAACTACTTCTTGCCAACAGTTTCCAAAGATCTAGTTTCACCAGGCATGAGAAAATCACCCAGTGTATTTATACACATATGTGTGAGGCAGAGACAGATTGAGCATGGATTGCCCTTGAGTGATACCAGGGATTTGATTTTCTTGCCGATAGCTCAAAAGTCTTCTTTAGCCTCAGGCCTGGACTAAGTCCTCTTAAATGTTTGTAGAACAACAGACTGGCCTATTGTGCACCAATTCAAAGGGTCTAAGCCATGAGAATATACGGTTTGTGGTACTGTTCATTCACAATGTGTCACTTTAAATTTTTAAGTACAAAACACGTAGTAAATGGCCGTAAATACTACGTCCTTGCAAAAGATTGCTACCTTATGTATTAGTTCTCTTTTGCAGCCATATCAAAATGATTATCTTACAATTCTGTTGGTCAGATTTGAAATGGGACTCACTGGGCTAAACTTGAGGCATCAGTAGGGCCACATTCCTTTATAGAATTATAGGAGAGAATCTGTCTCCTTGTCTTTTGTGACTTCAAGGGGGACACCTGCATTCTTTTTTTTTTTTTCATTTGAGAGAAAGTGAGAGCGAGAGAGTGAGCACGAGCATGGGGAGGGGCAGAGGGAGAAGCAGATTCCCCGCCGAGCAAGGACCCTGACTTGGGGCTCAGTCCCAGGACCCTGGGATCATGACCTGAGCCGAAGGCAGACACTTAACCCACTGAGCCACCCAGGCGCCTTTTTTTCTCCCCCCACCTGGATTCTTGGGCTCACCTCTAGCTTCAAGAAATCAGCAACATCTGGTCAGTTGATTGAGTCCTGATATCACATCTCTTGGATCTTTCTCTCTTTTTTTTTTTTTTTAACATTTACTTATTTATTTTAAGTAATCTCTATCCCCAACGTGGAGCTTCATCTCAGGACCTCAAGATCAAGAGTTGCATGCTCTTCTGACTGAGCCGGCCAGGTGCCCTGCCCTGACCTTTCTTTATCATATCTTTCTTTTATCACAGCAGGAAAGGTTTTCACTTGTAACAACTCATGTGATTTGTTGGGGCCCATCTGGATGATCTAAGGTAATCTATTCTCAAGGTCCCTACTTCTAATCACATCTGAAAAATACCTTTTGTCACATAAAGTGACATATTCACAGGTTCCAAGAATTAGGGCATGGACATATATATATATATGGGCCATTATTTTGCCCCCACGTTTGAGTTTAAATACCAAACAAGTACAGCATTTACACTAACCAGTAGAGGATCCCTTCCATCATCACTCTTACTATCTGAGCTGATTCTGATCACTATTCATTAATTAAGGTTTCAAGACTTTCCTCAACATATAGAATATAATATGTATTGTACCTACCGTTGTGCCTACCAAAGATTCCACAGTCACTGAAAAGTATTACAAGAGAATAAATATGACAATAGTTAACATTTATTGAGTGCTTTCTCTGCTCGAAGTACTCTTCTAGGTGCTTTACATGTTTTGAGTTATTTAATCTTTTTTTTTTTAAGATTTTATTTATTTTGACAGAGAGAGAGAGAGAGCAGATGCAGGGGGAGGTGCAGAGGGAGAAGCAGGCTTCCCGCTGAGCAGGGAGCCAGACGTGGGGCTCGATTCCAGGACCCTGGGATCATGACCTGAGCTGAAGGCAGACACTTAACCGACTAAGCCACCCAGGCACCCCATTGAGTTATTTAATCTTCACAAAAACCCTATGAGGTGGGTATCAGCATCATTACCATTTTACTGATGAATGAAGTTTGTTGAAGTTTACATTTAAATTAAATGAAGGTTTAGGGTGTTACCAAAAGAAATGAGACCAGATAGCCTTCAGTATAGTGGTTTTTATAATATACAAACACAGAAAATGTACTACATATTTTATATTACATTCTATCAAAAATGAATGTTTTCACCTTTAGATTTGAGAGAAAAAAATAGAATGGAATCTACACATTTTCATTTCTTTGAATCTGAAAGAAATGCATGTTGCTGTTGTGTGTGTGTGCGCTTGTGTACATGATTATGTATGTGTGAAGAGAGAGATTAACTCAGTATAAAAAGGGATTTCTTCCAGTTATTTTTCATCTTGTTCCTGCCATTTTTGCTCTATGATATCTGTTCAAAACAAATGTGTATTTTGCCTTTGGAATTAATATGCAGATATTAATTTGGAGCTGTTAATATGCTGGTGTTGGGGAGGAAAGATTTTACTCTATCCATCAAGGTTTTTCTGACTGATCTAAGAATTAAATTGACATGCAACAGATCAACAGGAAAAAATCAAATTCAATTTTGTTTTACAGGGAATCCAGAAAGACATAAGATTCCAAAGACAGTTAAAATGAGGTATATATGTCATCCTAAACTAAGGCAAAGGGGGTAAGGGGTCTGGAATTTTACAGGGAAAGAAAACAATTCACAGGAAGATGAAAAAGAATAAATGTTTGGTAAACAAATGTTTTTCTGGACCATTCAGAAACAATGGGACAAAGAGAGGACTTTGATGAAACAGACCTTGCTAGGCTGCTCCCTGTCTACCATACCCAGTTCATATTACAACATAGTTATCTATGGTGATAGTTCTCTTCCTAGAGCAGGTCCACGACATAAATTCTTGTAGGCAGGGGCGCCTGGGTGGCTCAGTTGTTAAGCGTCAGCCTTAGGCTCAGTTCATGATCCCAGGGTCCTGGGATCGAGCCCCAGATTGGCCTCCCTGCTCCGCGGAAAGCCTGCTGCTCCCTCTCCCACTCCCCCTGCTTGTGTTCCCTCTCTGGCTGTGTCTCTCCCTGTCAAATAAATAAACTCTTTTTAAAAAATAAATAAATAAATAAATTATTTTAGGCAGTAAAATTTCTTCCTGAGTCTTTTAATGAAGAAAGCTTGAAATCTGCATGCCAGAATGGCACATTTGGGCATGGCTTGCCCTTGGTTCCTGCACAGGCCAGACTAGAGTAAAAAAACAACAGTAAAAAAAAAAAAAAAATCAGTTAACAGTATTGTGGGACAGGGCAGCAAGTGATTTCTTTGGATTAAGATTGAGTAACTGGACAGCAATTGCCACATTTCCTTGGACTTGACTGACACAGAGCTTTGGGTTACAAAAAATTGTTTTTGTTCTATTCCAATGTCAGTTGTCATTTACAGGAGTTTCTGAATATTACTCTGTTGCGTAGCCTCAGATTTGGGGTCTGCTTTGAAGAATCCATTTCTATCAAACTTTACTTTAAATTTTTACCAGCTTTTCAGCTTCCCAACTCTTTTTTAAAAACTTCATCTTTGAGCAAATTAAAATCACTCTGCCTGCCATTTTCCCTAACAGATAAATGATCTGTTAAATACAAATCCAACATTTGACAACACGATGTTGGTGAATCCATGGGGCATCAGGCACTCTGATATATTCCTAGTTGGTGTGTAAAATCGTCTGACTTCTGTGGAGGGCAATATGATAATATTTATACAGAGATCAATTCATTTACCCTTTAACCCACAAATTCCACTCCTGGGAGTTTGTCCTGGGTTTATAGCTGTATAATATGAAATAATGTGTATATGGTGTTATTTATCGCATTACTGTCTGTATTAGCAAAATATTAAAAATGCCCTTCAGGTGTCCTTCATTCAGAGATTTAAATGAACTATGGTACTACCCTGCAATGAAATAATATGCAGCTGAAAAAAAAAAGTAAATGAAGCTCTTTGTGTACAAGAGATTTCCAAGATATATTGTTAAGTGAAGAAATCGAAGTGAATATAATGTATCATCTTTTGTTAAAGAGGAGAAAATAAGTATTTACTTTCATATGGCTTGAACTTGTATAGATAAACACCAGAAGGACAAGTAAGAAAAAAAGGAACAGAACAGTAGGGTCAGGGGAGGAAGGGTCAGGGGAGGGAGCAGGACTCCTCAGTGTGTGCCTCGTGATAGGGTTTTCACTCTTGGACAAGGCCAATGCATTACCTACTCAGAACAAAACAAAGGAAGCAAAGCTTTGAAAAGAAACAAGAGTCCTCTTTCCATGGTTCACTGATTTTTCTGAGCATGTTATACTTTTTGATAATCTTGTGTATGAACTCAAGGCAATTAGAAGCCAGAGCAAGGGAGAAAAATGCAACATTTGTCCTGTGAGAAAAAACTTAAGAGCCAGAACATTAGAGGAAGCTGGATCCAAAAGAGCATAAAATGGCAAAACAGCATCATTTCCGGGGCGCCTGGGTGGCTCAGTTGGTTAAGCAACTGCCTTCGGCTCAGGTCATGATCCTGGAGTCCCGGGATCGAGTCCCATGTTGGGCTCCCTGCTCAGCGGGGAGTCTGCTTCTCCCTCTGACCCTCTTCCCTCTCGTGCTCTCTGTCTCTCATTCTCTCTCTCTCAAATAAATAAATAAAATCTTAAAAAAAATAATAATAAAATAAAATAAAATCATCCTAAGATGATTTTGCAGCTGAGAAATAATTCCATTTTATATATATATATATATATATATATATATATATATACACACTACATTTTCTTTATCCATTTATCTGTGGATGAATACTTGGACTGTTTCCATGTGTTGGCTACTAAAAATAATGTTGCAGTAAATATAGAGGTGTATATAACTTTTTGAATTAGTGTTTTCATTTTCTTTGGATAAATACCTAGCGTGGAATTACTGGGTCTTATGGTAGTTCTATTTTGAACTTTTTGAGGAACCTCCATATTGTTTTCCACAGTGACCATACCCAGCTTGCATTCCCACCAGCAGTGCATGAGGGTTCCCCTTTCTCCACATCCTCACCAAGAGCTGTTGTTTCTTGTGTTTTTTATTTTAGCCATTCTGACAGGTGTGAGATGGTATCTCATTGTGGCTTTG